CACAGTTTATAGGAGCTGTTGTGTTTTGTTTTTCATCCTCATTCCCAGCGCGTTTGGGTGTAATTAAGACACACCTTGATGTCCATCCTCCTATGGACACACTTTAAAAATAACATTTTTGGAAACTTCCAACCCTGTTAGTCAACGCGATGCATTTTTATTGCACTGGAGTTGTACACATACAATGTGTATTATTGCCACGTTTTATGGATTTGGGAAGCAAATGAACCAACAAAGCCTTGAAGACAATTAAAGACAGAACATGTGGAGCTACACAGAATCACAGTGCTTAAACAGTGAGAGTTTTAGAGAGAGAATCATCCTTGATGGTTTGGGATCATTAGTGAGCACAGAGCACCCCCCTGCCCTGTTTTAAGGAACAAGGCTCAGTCTTCGAGGAAAGAATTTTTAAATTTAGAAAGAATTTTTAAGAGAGCAGACAGTGTTCATGCCGTTGCACGTGGTTTTACTTTCACAAGTCTAAACCAGGAAGATGCAAAGAAGAGAAAGGGGTGACCTTTTTAGGAGAAAAGAGACATTTCTTGCAATTACTGGTGCAGAATCCAGGCCTCCAAGCAGCCACTAAAAACACATTCCCTGGCTGAGAGAACAGACGTTACCTGGTGGTTGAAACAGGACCATTTACGTTAAGATATAAAAATATACTTTGTTATAAGTTAATAAAAGTAAATTTTTGAGGAGCGAGACAGATCCGCGTTGGGACGGAAATTCCATGTGCTGATGGGTTGAGTCAGGAAGCCGACTGGCCTAAACTGGGGGCTCCCCAACCCTCTTGGGATGTCACTGAAAAGAGGGTTCCTTCCTTCATTACCTCCTGTCAGTGAATCCCTGAAAACAGGCTTAAAAATCTGTCCTCGGAGCTGGGTGGATTTTTTAAGAGAACAACAACAGCGTTTAAAAGTAACAGACGTGAGAGTTTCTCTTCTTGCTGGGTTGTGACTTCAAGTCCTGTTCTTAGTTAATTTTACCATTTGGGATTTATTCTTTATATTAGGCTTAAAAAGCGAGGCACTGAGAGGTTATGGCTCGTTTGACTCCAAGTCAGGACTTGACAATAAAAGGAATTATTTCCTTGACAATAAAGAGGTTTATCCTCTGCATTTAAGGATAAATTAATACATAAAGGGCAAGATGACTAATTTAGTGGAATAACTTCATTTCAGAGCAGCTGAACATTGATATAAATGCTCCACTGTGCAAAATTTCTCTCTGTAGTAGCACTGTGGTCTTGAATCACAAGAAACCACCAGTTAGATCTCTGGGACTTGTCTCTGAATGCTGATTTTAAAAATAAGCTATTTAGAATACGCTATTTAAAAACAATCTAAAGATTTAATGCTAGACCTGAAATAATAATTAAAAAAAAAAATATATCTTTAAACAAAGAGAAGCTTAGTGAGATTCCCATGCAGGTGTAGTCTTTGGATGAAAGGCTAAGCTACCAAAACCACACCTAAAACCTTTTCCCTGCTGAAATGAACGATTCTGGTAATTTTAATGACCGACTCCTATTCTGAACGCAGCGTTAATTAAAGATATGCACCGCTAATTAAGGTAGCACAGCACAGAGAAACGCTCCTCCCAGTTACCAGAGCCACAAAAACTCCTCTGGAGACGGGACCAGGTCGTTAGAGAGAGCGGGACGGAACCAGGTCGTTGGAGAGAGCAGGACGTGGCTTTATAGACAATTGGGGGGCTGGTGCTTTTTCAAGAGCTCCTTGACCAGCGTCTCCAGGGAGAAGAGGTGCTCGTCCACGTCCTCGGGGACGAGGCTGCGGATGGAGTTGGCCAGCTCGAAGAGGTACTCGGTGTTGCGGCCGCTGGGCCCGGCGGCGCCCAGGATCTGCCGCGCGATGTCCTCCAGCGGCGCGGGGCCCAGGTAGTTGGGGTTGTCGCGGGTGCCGATGTAGAGCTGCACCTCGAAGGGCTGCACCGACGAGTCCTTGGGGTAGAAGATGACGCTCGTGGTCCTGTAGCCCCCCTTCTCCCTGAAGTCCAGGTGTGCCATCACCTCGCCCTCCTGCCCCGCCGGCAGCCGGTAGGCGACGCCCCACACGCACCCCTGGACAAAGGAGACCCAAAGGGTACTCAGTATTTAGGCAAAACTCTCTTAAACCAGTCCTGTGGCTGTTTCTTTGAAAGGGCTGCTTTATTTAGGCAGTTCATAGAATCAGAGAATCTCAGGAAAAGACCTCTGAGATCAAGTCCAACCCTTGATCCAACCCTGCCGTGGTTCCCAGCCCATGGCACTGATGCCACATCCAGTCTCACCTTAAACACCTCCAGGGACGCAGAATCCACCCCCTGCCTGGCCAGCCCATTCCAATGGCTGATTACCCTCTCTGTAAAAAATTCCTTCCTAATATCCAACCTAAATCTCCCCTGGCACAGCTGAAGACCCAGCCCTTTTGTCCTACTGCTGGCTCCTGGGAGAAGAGCCTGACCCCCACCTGGCTACAACCCTCCTGTCAGGGAGTTGCAGAGAATGAGGAGGTCTCCCCTGAGCCTCCTCCTCTCCAGCCTAAAGAACCCCAGCTCCCTCAGCCTCTCCTGTACTGCTGTGGGCTGCCCAGGTACCTTCAAAATCAGGCTACACCTTGTTCAACTGCAGGAGGTGACGCTGAAATTAGAGCAGACTTGTCACATCACTTGATGTTTACATCAAATGATGTATGTTTGATATATGTTTATATCAAATTCTGCATCTTACAACTGGGTGGCCAAAGTGACTACTCCAGAAAATACTTTAAAATGTCCCTTTGGTAATAACAGACCCAAACTACAACCAAGTTCTGAGATTAGATTGACTATCTGAAACAATCAAGAGCCATTGGTGGAACTCCAAGAAACACTAGGAGAACTTTTCCCTAAAGATAATACAATTATTTGCTTGTAAAGAAGCAACAATTAAGAGAGATTGGGAATACAACAGGGCATTCTGGACACAGAGACAGACAGGAGTTCTGTACCTCAGCATCTTCAACCAGAGTCACAACTCTTCCAGGCTGAAATGTAAAAGAAGAAACCATAACTCAGTTAGAGGCTTTTACCCTAAATCATGAGCAAAACTAAAACAAAGCGAGAAAAAAACAATGAAAGACTCAGAGAACTAATCCAGGACAATCCCAATACGGTCTAGATCCAGTATAAATATTTTCTGAGAATAGCTTTTGATCTGTATCAGACTAACTTTGATAAACTGAATGTTAAATTCTGAGTGGACGGTGTCTGCAACACAGAAATTAAATGAAGGGCAGTCAGAAATGGGGAGGGTTTCAACGTCCTTGCTTTACATGTGCCGTCCAGACTGAATTCTATTCCAGTTTAAAACAGTGATTATTTATTAACAGTACAGTAACAGTGATAATTAACGGTTTCATTAATGTAAAACTGTCCTCAAGGAGCCCTTGGGGCCTCGCTGGACAGAGGGGAGAATACCTTGCAAATGGCTTATTTTTCCCAAGAAGATACTTCTTTGTAGGGAGAGTAAGAAGCCAGTGTGTAAATACTGGAAACACAATAGTTGAAATTCCTTTTATAAAATTTTAGAACATAAACCCCTATGCTGAACTACAGCTGCAGTTTAAAATCACTAATTTTGGCATCAAATGAGTTCTCTCCCAGCATCAGCCCTCTATTCCTGATCTGACTGATAAAATAAGGCAACAAAACTACATGAACACCAAATGATTCCTATTTCCTAAGGAGAAATAGGTCTGTTCCCATGATTCATGGAAGATAACTTAGGTGTTCCTTTTGGAAAGCTTTTTCCATAGCTATTAATACTTCCATAACTTGTGCCCTCAATACTGGTCAAGAAGATTTTTGTAAATCGTGGATTGAAGAGACATTCTGGGGTGGAAAACAACCTTATCCTTACAGAACTGCAGCCTAATTGCATTAAATTTTATCTGAATTAATTTGATTTAATACGAAGGGAGGTACTGAGAGGTTCTTCGTGTTCAGGTGGGGTGTGTGGTGGGAGAAGGATCTGTTTGCCCAGGGAAGGGCAGGGTATTTAGTGTATTGGTTCCCAGAGTCCTTGGCTCGCCTGGAACTACCCAAAACAAACAGTAAGGAACAAATAACTAAATACTTGTTGATAGAGGGATTAATTACTGCTTGTACTACTGGGAGTAATTCTCTGACAATCTTTTTTAAACACAACTAAGGTGTAAGTTGCTGTATACTTTGAAGAGCTGCTTTTTCCTCGTTTTATTGCTGTTTTTTAACACGTATCAGGACTGAAGGAGCAGTGGCAGCTCAACCCGTGTTATCTCTAAGGTCTGTGCGAGGTGTTTTATCGTGTTATTTACACCTAGATGAAACTTCCTTCCACGCCACACACAGCGAGCTGTTATTTTAAAATAATCCTTAAAGCCACACACAGCAAGCTGTTATTTTAAAATAATCCTTAAGCTTTTTTTTTTTCTCTGCAGGAGGAGCTCTTTTTTAAAGCTTTATTCCAGGTTTACGGTGGAGTTACTGGGTGCAGGTTATACTTCACCCTCACTCCCATTATGTCTTAGTGACAACTGGGAATGTCACTCCCTTGGGAATTTTGGTTTCTTTTTCTTGCTAGTTTTTTGGGTTTTTTGTTTTCTTCTTCTTTTTTTTTTTAAATTTTATTTTCTCCTTTTCCAATCGGGTTTTAAATATTTCCTCATCCGTGCGTTTTTTGATCTGAGAGCAGAATAAGTTGAAATACAAAGCGAGGAGGTTACTGCCTTTTCCCATTCCCTGTGCACAGCCCGGCACCCGCCCCGAAGGGTTTGCCCTCACCGAGGGGTTTGCCCCTCA